TGCCTGTAACTCCAGCAGTCCTCCAAGGGAACCAGGCAAGCACGACAGACGCCTACACAGATACAGATACATAAATATAAATAAAATAAATATTTAAAAAGACAACTTCTTTCCCCCCCAAAAACAGAACACCAATCTTTCTTTTTTACAGTTTTGTTTCCTTAATAATTGTGTGTGTGTGTGTGTGTGTGTGTGTGTGTGTGTGTGTTTGAGAGTGTCCATGGAGTCCAAGAGAGAGAGTCGGATCCCCTACAACTTTTTCAGGTAGGTGTGAGATGCCAGACATGGGTGCTGGGAACTGAACACAAAGCCTTTGCAAGAACGCTACTTGCTCTTAGCAGCTGCCTTATTTCTTCCACTCCAAGAAAGCCATTGTTTCTAGTTTACTATTATAAGCCATTTGCTTATAATAGTAAAAAAAAAAAAAAAAAAGCGGACATAAACCAAATATCCATGTACTAAGAAGAGCTGAACAAAATGTAGCATACCCAAATAATAGAATATTCCGTGTCCTGAAAAGGGAATGAGGCATTGATATATGATATAAAATAGGTGAATTACAATGTGATAAGGCAGGGTCACAGAAGAGCCCATTTACATGAACTGTCCAGAGGAGGCAAATTTGTCCAGATAGCAAATAGAGTTGTGATTGGTGAGGGATGAGGCGCAGGGTCAGGGAAGCCGGGGTAGGGGAGTGATTCCTAAAGGGTGTGAGCTTTTTTATTTTTTATTTTTTGAGGTTCTAACAATGTAGTAATGATTGTGTATGACTGTAAATATTCTGATAGCTGCTGCAGCCAGACATGGAAAAACACAACTGTTGTCCCAGCTGCTAGAAGGCTGAGATGAGAGAATTGACTGAGCCTGGGATATTTATTCATTTACTTACCTTCAGACAAGACCTTAGGTGCCTCGAGATGACCCTGAGCTTCTGATTTTACTTCACTTTCCAGATGCTGGAGTTACAATCACACAGCAGATGGGGCTGGAATCCTGGGCCTTATGCGTGCTAGGCAAACAGCCTAGCCATAGCAAGACCCTGTCTCAAACATGTAAACAAGCAAACCTGAACTGCAATCCCAACTACAGGGCAGACTGAACCAGCCTGCCTGGGCTACAGAATGAGCTCATGGCCACTCTGGGCAATTAGCAAGACACTCTCTCAAAACAATAGGTTGCCAGCCCTGCTGTTCTAGGTGCCATTACTGATAGCTGTTCTAGCCCCTTCCGAGACCTGCCATGGCGTGTGCCTATTCCGCTGTAGAGCGTAATCTGCCGTCTACAGGATCTCCAGGCTGTCTGTGAGGCCCCTAATGCCATGTAAATTCTATGCGAGCCGCTGCCAGGCTGCATTGTGTAGGGGAGAATGGCAGGAAGAGTGAACCTGCACGTGCACAGAAGCGTCTGCAGTTTGACCTTTCAGACAGGAGAGGGCCGAGTCAGTGAACGCAGAGCTGAAGACGCAGATGACTAACACCAGCAGTGGGGAGTTAGGGTTAGGGTTATACATTGTTTTATACATTTTCTATTTGTATAAATATATACCGAGCAGAGGAAAACGAAAGGTCAAAAATGCTAATGCATGGGGCTGGAGAGATGGTTCAATGGTCAGAGTACTGGCTGCTCTTGCAGAAGATCCAGGTTCTCCTGGTCCCTGCAGACATCTGCAAGCTCACGGTCTACGTACAGACAAGCAGGCGCACACACGCACACACAATTTAAATGTCAGTTTTGTTGGAGAAAAAACGGTAAAAAAGAAGGAGGGGGCTCTTGGAAGGGCATTTGATTCTTAGCACCGCAGATAAAGAAGGAAAATCAAAGCAGCCACATTTACAGTCACGGTACCCTCCCCATGCTCAAACAATGCACGCTTGCTATCTGTGAGCGTGTGGCGTGTTAGTGTGACATATTTGTGTGTGTGGCACAGATGTATGTCTCTTTGCACTTGCAGGACGCCAGAGGAGAATGTCCTTAGTCCCTCCAGACAGGGTCTCTCGCTGATCAGTAAGCCCCCAGGACCCTTTTGCCTCTGTCTCCCAGAACACTGGGGTTACAGGCTGTCCAAGTGGTACAAGCTGGAGTTACCTGGGAAGAGGACTATCAGTTGAGAAAAAATGCCTCTATCCTGTTGTCGGTAAGCAATTGCTGCTTGGTGTGGGAGGCCCCAGCCCGCCAGGTCACTCGTGGGCACGTGGGCTTTGGTGGTATAAGCAGGCTGAGGAAGCCCCTGAGAAGCAAGCCGGGAAACAGCATTTGTTCATGGTCTCTGCTTTAGTTCCTGCCTGAGGTTCCTGCCCCAACTTCCTTTCAATGATGTTCTGTAAGCATCAAGGGAAAATGGACCCTTTTCTTCCCAAGTTGCTTTTAGGCATGGTGTTTCCTCACAGCAACAGGGACTTACTTTTTTTTTTTTTTTTAACATAATGATAGTATATGAACTTAGGTTTTCACACCTGTACAATGTTCTCAGCCACTGAGTCACTGACAGGGTCTCACACAGTTCAGGCCCTGACCTCCAACTTGCTATGTAGCCAAGAGTAAACTTGACCTCCTTATCCTCCTTCCTCTACTTAGCAAATGTGCCAATACTTCAGGCTCTCCATGCATTTTATAGCCTGTTCCTGTTCTTTCAGGGCAATTTGCTGTCACTCTTTAAAGGCCCAGCTCCAAACCTGTGGCCTCCACCCTACTGGCCTCCCTCAAATCATCCCTGTTTCCTCAAGGCCGTCTCATCTACAGTGGTCTCCTACTGTTGTGCCTGAAGCCTGCCTGCCTGCATGGGAACTCCATCTTTATCCCCAGGGCGCCCAGCTCGGCCCTGCTATCCTTGGAGAGTTCAAAGTGAGGGGATTCAGATCTCACAGATTGGTCCCTAGGTGGCGCTGTCCACCCGGGTAAAAGTCAAGGAAGCACAGACCCAGAGCTTGTCCTCACAGCACCCACTGCATCTGCGACTGGTTTGTTACCTTTAGTGTGTGTGCATGTGCGTGTGCGTGTGCGCGTAGTGTGTCTGTCTGTCTGTCTGTCTGTCTGTGTCTAAGTTCTGCATCAAAAGACTGCTTTCAAGAGTTGGTTCCTCTTCCACCCTTCCGGTCCTGGGGATTGAGCTCAGGTTGTGTCAGGTTTTGTAGCAAGTACCGTTAACCATTGAGCCATCCTACTGGCACCTGGTGCCCGATTTTAGCAGGCACTTGACACAAGCTGAGGTTATCTGGGAAGAGAAATCTCATTTGAGAAAAGCCTGTCGAGGCTGGATGCCAGGAGAAGCGGGGAACCACAGGCTATCCCTGCTGTTTCTGGGTGACCCAACTCTCCCAGAAAAGTTTCGAATATCGTTGTTCCTTTCAGATTGCCACCCAAGGCTGTTTGAAGAGACAGCCCCTCCTCTCTCTGGTCCAAACTCTCTTGCCTCCTGTTGGAAAACATGGCTTTGAAGTGCAAGGTTCTGGTTTTGATTCTGGTCCTGGTGTGCTCATTTTCCCCAAGCTTTAGGGACCTTGTGTATGACAAGAAGGCTGGCCCCAGCACTCTGGACTGCCAGTCCAGAAGCCTCACTGGGTGGAGAGGCAGGAGGTGTGGCCAGTCAACATCTTGGCCAAGGGCAGGCTGCCCTGGGAGTTGCCAGAAGGAAAACATTTTCCGGGAGCCGGAAGGGCTGGCAGAGCCCAGGGCTGAGTGGAGAGACCACAATGGACCCTTGTGTGGTGGTTTAGTTTGGACTCACCCGAAAGCCCAGCTTCTGGGCCAGGGTGGGCCCTGTTTTCTGATCTGCAGCCAGACCTAGCTCCTAAACAACCCGCCCTGGGCCCCGACAGGAGCCAGAGCTTCGCCTCAAGTCCAGCGGGTGTGAAGCTCACAGGCTGGGGTCCAGTGGCTTACACTCTTCTGCCAGACTTCCTGGAATCCTCCTGGCTAAACAGCTTCACATAAGCATTGGAAAGCCCATCTCCACAACCAGACAGGCGTACAGTTCTGTGAGGTTTCCTCTTCAAACTGCCGAAGGCAGCTCAGGACAGCCTGCAATGAATTTGCTAACAGTCTCTGGAGTCCGTCTGAGAGGCTCAGCTTCTTGTCCTGAGTGAGCCTCAGTTTCCCCCTCTGCCAAGGGAGTTCGTGGTTCTCATTTGAGGGACACAGATGCCGGGAGGGTGTTTAAAGTGTCTGGCATACCCTTTGCCTCAGGAAAACATCCATCCAAACCAAGCCAGACAGCTTTCAGCCTCCTCCTGGCGCTGGCACAGCTAGGGCCCAGGCTCTGAACCCCTTCTGAAGTAGCTGGCAGGAAATCCTCCAGAGCCCCACACGGGACATCCCCATCTCTGAACCTTGACTTAGTCGTGCCTCAGGACCAGGGTCCTGCCCTCATAAGGCCCGGTCATCTGAACAGTCATTGCTGGGGACCCTGCCATTGCCATCACTGTCTTATGCATGAAGGGGGTCTGGGGTTGGAGCCCAGCTGCTAGAGTGCCTGTCTAGCAGACACAAAGCTCCTTAACTTGCACCATTTAAAAGTCAGTATGATGGGCTCAAAAACAAAATTTAAACAAACAAAAACTTCCTTAAGTAGGCCGGGCAATGGTGGCACACACCTTTAATCTTAGCACTCTGGAGGCAGAGGCAGGCAGATCTCTGTGAGTTCGAGGCCAGCCTGGTCTATAGAGCAAGTACCAGAACACCAGGGTTACACAGAGAAAGCCTGTCTCAAAAAACCAAAAATAACAGCAGCAGCAACAACAACAACAACAATACACACACAAAAAAAATAAAAACAATAAAACAAAAACAAACAAACAAAAAAAGTTCCTTAAGCATAAAAAGAGATGACATTGTAAAGATCGCAGATAAGCTGATCATAGCCCTGTGAAAAGCTAATGTTTGTTGGGCCTGGAACTTATTACATAACCCAGGTTGGCTTTAAACTCATGATAATTTTCATGCTTCTGCGCTGACCTCCCAAGGGCTGGTATTGAAGGTATGAGCCACCACGCCCTGCTGCTATTTAGAAGGAAATTAAACGAGAGCTCCAAGACACTGCACCCGGATCAAGTTTAAAAAAGGTTGAGATCCGAGAGGACAGGATCATGATGAGATGCACAGACGCAGATTTGCTGTCAGGCTGCATTTTGGGTCAGAGACCTAAGGTCTAGAATGTAGGAGTTTGACTCATGCCTGTCCTTTTGGAGCTTTGGACACATTTCTTAGGAATGTGAAGACTGCAGGCTCAACCCAGGTGAGTAGACCCAAAGCGGGTCAGATAGTCATGATCCCTGCAGCATAAATGAGGCTGTGGCTTATTAACTCTAGGGCTGAGGGACAGCGACTTTGGGCCCCAGTGGAAACAATGGAGACGTCGCAGGTTTGAGTAAGAATGCTTCTAGAGCTAAGCAGCAAGGGCAGGTGAGTCCAGATAGAAAGTGTATGGATGTGCTCTCTATCCTTAGTTAGGTAGACCACAAGTCCAAGAACCCCTCTATGTTAGGAGAATATGTTAGGAGAAGGAGAGTCTTCTCTCTCTCTCTCTAGTTTTTTTTTTTTTTTTTGAGTTTACTTGTGTGGGAGGTGTGCATGTCTGCCACAGTGCCTGTGTGGAAATCAAAGGACCACTTTCAGGAACTGGTTCTCTCCTTCCATCATGTGGGGCCTGGGTCAAACGCAGGTCATTAGGCTTGATGACACCACCTTTACCTTCTGAGCCATCATGCCAGTCCCAAATCTAATATCTTTTTTTTTTCCCTAATATCTTAAATCAGTCTTTGAATCTGAAGTTTCAGCCAAGAGCACCTAACCTGAAACTACTGGGTGTCAGCAAGCCAGGAGCCAGGCTACAAGCTGTTTGTTCTTCGTGGCTTTATTGCCAGGTGAGGATCAATGTACATTAGGGAAAAAAAAAAATGCTGTCAGTGGGAGGTACAGCCCTGCTGTTCCAAGGTCACTTCTGTTGATCTTAGTTGTTGGCATAAGTTGACAGCTGGAGCCTGGTGCTGGAGTTTGCCCCTGGCCTCCTCACATCTTTATATTACCAGCTCTGGGGCCCAAACCCAACACGGTTTGGAAAAAGAGAAGGGCACAGGTTTGAGAAATGGAGAGACATTGGCTTGAGCCTTAATTTGCTGTGTGGCTGAGAGCAAGGTGCTTTGCCCCTTTGAACCTGGGCAAAAACGTTTGCCTTTGAGGCTGTTATTTAGATAAGAAAAAAAAAAAATGTGTCAAAGGCCTGTTGCATAACAGTAGATGGGACTGCTCTTTCTTCTCCCCAGGAGACAACTCAGGGAGCAGCAATGGGCTGAAGCACCTGGTCACTTAGATCTGGTTGGTGGTTTTGTGGCTCTCTGACTGAGACCTCTGGCAAGTTCTGCACCTTTCTGCTGTTCATCTTGTTGCTTGAAAAATGAGGCAGAGGAACCAGATGATCTTGGTTAGTTTGTGTATCAATATGACACAAGCTAGATAGAGTTATCTGAAAAGAGGGGCCCCTGGGCAACTCTGTAGGGCATTAATGAGATTAATGATTGATGTGGGAGGACCTAGTCCGCTGCCAGCAATGCCACTCCTTAGTAGGTGGGCATGGGCAGTATGTGAAAACAGATGGACACATGCCTTGGTGGCAGATGCCTTTAATCCCAGTATTCAGGAGGCCAAGCACAAGGACCTCTGTGAGTTCCAGGACTCCATAGTGAGTTCCAGCACAGCCAGAGCGTTGTAGAGGGACCCTGCCTCAAAGAAAACAAAACAACAACTACAAAAAGAAAGCAGACAGAACAAGCTGTGAGGAGCAAGCAGGAAACAAGTTTCCTCTGTGGGCTTTGCTTCAGTTCCTGTCTCCAGTTTCTGAGTTTCTGTCCTGTCTTGCCCTCATAACAGACTAGAGACTATAAGCTAGAAAAAGCCTTTTCTCCTCAACTTGGTTTTGGTCATTGTGTTCATCACAGTAATAGAAAGCAACCCCCATCCACCCACATACAGAAAAAAAAAAAGAAAGAAAGGAAAGAAAGAAGAAAGAGAGAGAGAGAGAGAAAGAAAGGAAGGAAGAAAGAGAGAGAGAGGAAGGAAGGAAGGAAAGGAAGGAAGGAAAGAAAGAAAGAAAGAAAGAAAGAAAGAAAGAAAGAAAGAAAGAAAGAAAGAAAGAAAGAAAAAGCCATTCTCCAGCTGCAAAGAGAATACTGGCTGGGTTTATCTTGCCTGAGCATGGCAGGGAAATGCTCTTTCTTGAGAGACAGGCCCCCAGCTTGAAGCTTGATCCTGCTATGATGCACTGAATAACCTAAGGCATGTTCCTCTTCCTGCTGGACTTCAGTCTTCCCATCTATGACATTTCAGTAGGCTCTGAAGCCCCTTTGGCTCTGACGATCTGGGTGCCAAGTTCCGATAGTGTCACACATTCCCAGGTAGAGCTCCTGCGTCTGGGCTCCCAGTCTGCTTGCTCTCACACGCTCCCTGACAGAACTTCTGACCTCCACCCTCACAGTCTCTCCTTCCTTCTTATCCAAGACTGAAGAGCCCACCAGACTGTTCCCCAGTCACTCTCTTCTTGGCACTAAGTGTCTTAGAGTCTCTAGAAGCTTCTCCTTGAAAATCTTAGGAGCCCATCTTGACTCCTTCTCACTCACTTCACAATAAAACATTGGGTACTTGGGGACAGGCCTATAATTGCAGCACTTGGGAGACAGATCCAACAGGGGCCACACCTGAGTTCCAGGACAGACAGAACTACACAGTGAGATCCCGTTTCACCCTACCCCCTAAGAAATAACACTTGTCAGAGGAGTTCCCTGAGCACTGTGGGCTATGCTCTCATCCACCTGTCTGAGACACCCCTTTTTTAGAAACTCTGTAGAGTGCAGGCTGAACGACAGGCACAGAAAAATTTGGCATGTTGCTTGTCCTTGGAAAGTAGCCAGAGTACCAAGGCATCCTGAGCTCTGGTGTATGAGGTGAGAAGAAGGCCCTGCTGGGTTGGTCTGGTCTTGTCCAGTTGGCAAAGGACAGGTGCACAATGTCACACCCTTATGAATACACCAGGGTCATCTGGCCGGCATTGACAGTCTAGCAAACCAGGCTTTGAAAGCATCACCACAGGCTGTGCCCAGCCACTGCCTTCCACCAGAGAGAGGCTATCCAAATGGGAAACCTCGTTCAGCCTGCTAGACCTCCATCAGCCCCATCTAGACATTAGTCTCCTCCTGGAGGCTCAGCCAGACACAGAACTCAAAACTGCCCGGTGCATCAGGGAATAAGGAAAAGGTCTAGAGAGGTTTGGCTAGGCAGCCCCTCAGAGTAGGGGCTCCTTTAGTCACCCTCAGGCTGAGCCCCCATTGTCCATAGAAGTCTATATACTCAGCACACGAGTGTCCCTAGAGGGCCGGAGTTGAGTCATTTTGAGCCCCAGGGCCTGTTTTAGGATTTGGCACAATACGGATACTTCAAATTTCCTTCAATCTCTGCCCTATTTTGAGTCTTCCCAGCACTGACCCATAAGGGCTATAGCGGGGACCTTCTTCCAAAGGAAACAAAGAGGCCTTAGAGTGGGCAGTCCTTGGCCCCAGGGGTGGAATGCTAATGTTAGTCCAAAGCAGGTCCTGAGGGACGTGGGGCCATAGATCTATGGATAAAGCCTTGACAGTCCCTGGCTCTTTTGTTTCTGCCCAAAGGCACTCTCTACACGATTCCTGGGCCCGAGCATATAGGTAGACGTCTGCAGTTTGCTAGCTATCGAGGTATTCAGCTTCGGCGCCAGGCCTCTCCTGGGTGCTGCCCTAGTCTCTTCCCTAGGAACACTCCTGACACTAAGGACCACTGTGGAACACCAAAGTGACCTTTACTCAACAGGCTCCAGCCACGGAAAGGGTGAAGGCCGCGCGCCGTGCTCCACTGGCTGACTGTCGCATGCTGCGTTCCCTGTGAAGCATAGCAAGCCATTACCATGTCCACACGGGATGCCGGAAGAGTTAAGGGTTCAGACCTGGCTCTGTTCACTACCCCTGCTCTGTACCAGGCTCACCAAAACACCTGGGGACAAGTGAGTGCTTCTTTACACATGCAAACCCAGATGTATGCTTCTGCACAAAGAAAAAATGGGTCTCAACACGGGGGGGGGGGGGCGAGGAAACAGAGGCTGTTTTGAAGCAGCAGTCTCTATTAAAAAATACTTTTAAATGCATAAGAAAGTAGCAAGGCTGGGCTCTTTATACCCCTTACCTGGTACCTCTCGTTGTTTGCCCTTTCTTTGGTTGCTGTTGTCCGTTTGTCCCCTGAGACGCTTGCCCTGATTACTCACTACTGTTAACTCAGCTCCAAACTTTACAGTCACGTCTCCTTTCTGTCCCAGGCTAGGTCCTGTCACACAGCCCTCACACCACTCACTCTGCCCTGTGACAGGAGGAACTGACTTCTTCGGTATTGTGCTGGTGTTTTGTTTTGTTTTGTTTTGTTTTGTTTTGTTTTTTTCCTGAGACAGAGTCAAGCTACATAGCCCAGTGTAGTCTGGAATTACTATGTAGACCAGGCTAGCCTCAAAGTTGTAGCAGTCCTTCTTGCCCTCCAAGTGCTGAAATTACAAGTATGACCTAGCATACTCCAACCCAAATGTTTTTTGGTTTTGTTTTGTTTTGTTTTGTTTTGTTTTGTTTTCCAAACAAGAGTCTCTTGTAGCCCAGGGGCTTGGGCTGGATCCTGCTGTTTCTACCTCCCCAGTGCTGTTTTGGGTTTGCTTTGTCCCTCAAGGGTAGGGATAAAATGGAGCAGAGATGGTCCTAGGCCCCCTGCACATTCATAGCAGATGTGCAGCTTAGTCCTCATGTGAGTCCTCCAACAGCCGGAGCAGGAGCTGTCTCTGACTCTGCTGCCTGCCTTTGGATCCCTTTCCCCTGTCCGGGCTGCCTGTCTGGCCTCAGTGGGAGAGGACGCTGCTTGGTCCTGCTGCGACTTGGTGTGCCACAGTGGGTTGGTACCCATGGGGGTCCCCTCCTTCCTTCTCTGAGAAGAAGAGGAGGGGAGGGTGTGGGGCGTGTGAGGGTGTGGCTGGGAGGAGAGAGGAGGGAGGCGGCTTCGATCAGGTTGTAAAGTGATTAAATAAATACATTTTTTAAATATTTGAGGGAAAAAAGTCACCAGTCCTCAAAACACTTCTCAGAGATCTTTCTCGTTCCAGATCCTGACAACGGTTCTCTCCCCTTGGCTGTTCAGGTCTAGAGGTGGCTACAACTTTGCCACCATGAGCTCTAAGTTCCATACTTAAGGGTTCTTTCACACACAATAGGAGCAGCCATGCATGCTCTTTGGTTGGTGGTTCAGTCTCTGTGAGCCCCATGGGCCCAGGTTAGTTGACTCTGTAGGTCTTCCTGTGGTGTCGTGGTTCCCTCTGGCTCTCTCAGTCCTTCCTCCCACTCTTCCACCAAACTCCATGAGCTCGGCCTGTTGTTTAGCTGTGGATCGCTGCATGTTTCCATCAGCTGCTGGATGAAGCCTCCCAAAAGACAGTTGTGCCAGGCTCCTGTCTGCCAGCACAGTATCACCATCACTCTCTTCCCTACCCCCGATCATTAGCCTTGCTGGAGCTGAGGGAGGTTGGGAGTCAACCCTCTTGCTTTACTTACTTTCACTGACTTGTTTTTGTCACCTCTCTTAGAGGTCACATCAATTAGTGGCCCATCCCCAGCCACTGGGCTCTAGACAGCGCTTCTCACACATGGCTCATGGTGGCAATGTTTGTCCAAGTTGTTTTTCAAAATCTTAAAGATAACCTTAAACCGGTGGAATCTACTCCCCCTCACTCGAGTCTCTATGTCTGATGTATGACCCTTTGACTTCAGAGGGTCCAAAACCCCACCCTCCAAACATGCCAACGCTGCCATTTTCTGAAGAGCCGGGAAGGCTGATTACACACATGCAGACCACTGATTACTTTGTTTCACCCCCAGCCATCTTTCCCCACCCCTCAGACCACCCTGCTTCCCTACCCTCTAATTCCTCTAAACTCTAGCCTATGAAAGGCAGCTTTGAAGTTTGAAGAACCTGTTTCCTTACATTTAGCCACTTCTGTGCTGTTGTTGTTTTAAATACGTATCTTTATTATTTTTAATTACTTGTGAGTCTGTGTGTAAGCATATTCGTGTGGAGGCCAGAGATATCAGAACGCTCTGGAGCTGGAGTCACAGGTGATTGACATGAATGCTGGGAATCAAGCTCTCGTCCTTTGGAAGAACACTATGCTTCTTAACTGCTGAGCTATCGCTCAAGCCCCTGTTGTTCTGTTTTACTTGAGATAGAGTCTCACTGTGTAGCCCTGGCTGGCTGGAACTCATAATCTTGACTCAACCTGTAGAGTGCTGTAACTATAGGTCTCTCTCTACTTCCTTCCCTCGATTCCTCGTTCCTTTCCTTCTTTCTCTTTTTGGTTCACTGCTTAATTAATATGGGTCTTATGTAGCCTAGGCTGTCCTTGAGCTCTTAATCCTCCTGCCTCCCCCTCTCCAGTGCTGGGATTACAGGCATGTGCCACTAAGCCTGGCTTCAGGCTGCCTCTTTTTGTTTTGCAAAACCCATTGCTTCAGTTGTTGTCATCCTGATTTAATAACATTCCCACTGGCCGAACCCCAGTCTGGAGCAGGGATCTATAGGAGTCCACCTCCTGGAACACAGAGCAAAGCGGGATGTAGGGAGGAAAGACACCCAGCATGAGGAATCCAGTTTCCACGGAATCTGAGTTTTCTTCAGGAAGTCTTCCCTCTCCATTGTACCCATGGATACTTGCTCTAATTGGGCCAAGTTGTTCTTGTTGTAGCTCAGCACATCATGTCCTCAGGCTCACGGCTCAGAGCTCAAACCTCTTTAATCTTAGCACAAGATGTGTGTCAGGGGGGCGGTGAGAGGTTTCTCCTTTTGATACCTTTAAGTTACACGGATCCTGGCCTCTTCCGGCACTGGTCACTCTTGTGTGTGTCTGTGTGATGGTGTGATGTGTGCTATGGCATACCTGCAGAAGTCAGAAAACAAGCGTGGGTGTCAGTCACTGACTTCCACCTTGTCTGAAGGGTCTTGCTTCCTTGTTCTCTGCTGCGTATGGGCTAACTGGCCGAAGCTTCCAGGAGTTCGTCTGTCTCTCCCGCCCATCCCTCCTGTAGGAGCTCTGGGTGTACTATCTGGTTTTGTGTCAACTCGACACAAGCTAGAGTCACCAGAGAGGAAGGAGCCTCAGCTGAGAAAAGGCCTCCATGAGACCCAGCTCTAAGGAATTTTCTCAATTAGTGATCAGTGGGGGAGGGCCCAGCCCATGGTGGGTGGTGCCATCCCTGGGCTGGAGGTCTTGGGGTCTATAATAACAAGCAGGCTGAGAAAGCCCTGACTAAGCAGCACTCCTCCATGGCCGCTGTGTCAGCTCCTGCCTCCAGGTTCCTGCGTCATTTGAGTTCCTGACTTCCTTCAGCGATGTGGAAGTGTAAGCTGAAAAACCCTTTCCTCCCCAACTTGCTTTTTGGCCATGGTGTTTTGTAGCAGCGATAGAAACCCTAACTAGGACACTGGGAATGCAGACTTTTGCTGGAGCACCCAGCTTTATGTGGGCTCTGGAGAGTCAAATTCATGTCGCCGCACTCACACAGCAGTCGCCTTGTCTACTGGGCCACCTTCCTAGCCCCAGCACGAGCCATCGCAGTCAGGGATGGAAGCGCCAACTGGAGTCTTTGGAATCCATATTTGACTCCTACCATAAACACCCAAGACCCTAGTATGCGCTATCTCGGTGTGCAGCTCTAGGCCCGGTTGCTGCCTTACCCTCCTATCGCACAAACGTAACTCTGTTCAGGTAGCTCCTGGTCTTGAGTGGAGGCCTTGGAACGTGTTAGCCATCCCTCCAGCAACAGTTGCAACTCCAGGAAATCCTGTCTCTGAGGCTGAGGCCAAGGCAGGAGGAAGCGGGAACCTAAATCAGCCCAAAGTAACTGCCCCTTCTGCTTCACCTCTTCCTGAAAAGACTCTAGTTGCTTAATAAATCACATGTCCTTCAGACTGGATTAAATGGCAGTTTCCAGTTGGGGACACATAAGGAAGTTTGGGGGTTTCCTGACACCCATCCCCTGTGTGCCTGTTTTTCACTGACTGCTTTTAGTAATTCCCATTTCTGCTATCAACACCCTGGTTTCCCTCTGGGAAACCGCCCTGCCCCCACTCCCAGCTTCAGGAGTTCCTGTGTAGCTGATACCTAACTCTGTCAACTCCAGCAGTGGGGAAATAACCCAGTCATGAGACTCAGTCTGGGAGTTTTCCTCAGAGATTCGGGAAGAAACACTCTTTCCAGGAAGACTGATGACATCAAGATGGAACTTTTTGGGGACATCTTGTTAGCACATGAGAAGAGTGACAACTGAAAGAGGAACCAACCCAGAGAAGGCAGGGGGGGTGAGGTGGGAGCAGATTCTTGGTGATTGGATATGTGCACGTGGATCTAGCTGCTCTCTATGCCTGCCTCCTCCTGGGGTTCAGGCTGCTGTGAGTGGACAAGCCTACCCTCCCCCTTTACGGCTCTGGATTTTGTTTCTTTGATGGGCTTACCTCATTAAAGATGAATTTCCATGATTTTCAGTCAAAGGGATCCTGATTAGGAGCTAGGCTATAGCTCAGTGGGTAGAGTGCTCGCCTGGCTAGAGTTCATGAGGTCATTAGTTCAATCCTTAGCACTTCATAGAACCCCTGGGAAGGCAGAGGCCGGAGGAGCAAAAGTCCAAAGTCATCCTCAGCTGCACAGTGAGGCTGAGGCCAGCCTGGACTACATAAAACCCCATAACGACAGCAAGAGAATTCCAGTCGGAACACCTGCAAAACCCCTTCTTAGTCAGCCCAGAGGGTGGACCCTACAGTTGAGTCTTCTTCTAGCTTTAAGATAATGTAGTGAGGGCATCTGCATTTGAAGGCATCTGCATTTGAAGGCATCTGCATTTGAAGGGCGCTTCATGGGGAGAAGAGGCAGGTGCGTATTTGGTTCTATATTTAGGATGATGACTGAATGCCAGACTCAACTGAGAACTGAACTTCCCAGGTGTACATGGTGGCATAAACCTCTAATCCCAGTACTTGGAAAGTGGAGGCAGAGGAATCAGGCTTCCCATCAAAATTCCTGGCTAAGATCCCCATGTGAAAGGACCCTGGAGCTATCCCTGACACTGGGTGTGTTGGGGAACTGTTTTCCATAAAGAAAAAATAATAATCCCTTGAGCTGCCTAGTTATAGCTTCCTTAAAAGGCTTGATAGAAGTTGTTATATATGATCATACTTACTTGATTTTTTAAATCATTGAATATGCCTAGGATGTAAAATTATATCATGAAAAATTACTTATATATCACAAAGAAAAAAACTGTCAACTTGAAAGCTTCTGTCTTTTAGGTTTATTAAGGTATAATTGAGAAATAAAAATTAAAAATATTCAAGGCATGTGTTCTAGTTGTTTTATAGTGTGATAAAATGCTGACCAAAACTGACTTGTAGAAAAAAGTCTTACAATCTGTAATCCATCATGAAGGGAAGTCAAAGCAGGAACTCAAGGCAGGAATTGAAGAAGACTCCTCTGTGGAATGCTGCTTACTGGCTTGCCCCCCATGGCTCTCTCAGCTTTTTTTTGTTTTTAGGCAGGATTTCTCCGTGTAGCCCTGGCTGTTCTGGAACTGGTTCTGTAGACCAGGCTGGCCTCAAACTTGCAGAGATCCACCTGCCTCTGCCTCCCAAGTGCTATGATTAAAGGTGTGCTCCACCACTTCCTGGCTTCTCTCATCCTTTTTTATATAAGCCCAGACTACTGCCCAATGATGGTACTCTCCACAACGGGCCAGGGTCCTCCACATCAATCATTAGTCAAGAAAATGCTCTATAGACTTGTCTACAGATCAGTTTGATGGAGGCATTTTCTTAATTGAGGTTCCTCCTTTCTAGATGACCTTAGCTTGTGACGCATTGACAAAAGCAAAGCAAAACCAAACCTAACCAGCACAGCGTGCAATGTGATGGTTTTTATGTAGGTGTACACTGTAAAATGTTTACTATAGTCAAGCTGATTATCCACCACCTACAGCTACTTACATTCTCTGAAACAAACAGAAATTCTTACCTTGAATTGTATTTCTGGAGAAGCAAACAGAGAGCCAGCTGGCAAATCCTACTCTTAACTGGAGACTGCCAGTTCTCAAATTCTTTCCTTTTCCTTCCTTTCTTCCTCTCTTCTTTCTTTTTATTTATTTATTTATCTATTTATTTTTTATGTGTATGTGTGTTCTGTCTGTGTGGGTATATATATACCAGATATGGGTCTAGCACCTGTGGAAGCCAGAAGAGGGTGCCAGGTCCCCTGAAGCTGGTGTTAGGGTTGCTTGGCAGCTGCTGCATAGGCACTGGAGCCCGAACCCAGGTCCTGTGCGAAAGAAAACATCAAATCTGTTAACTGTTGGAACACCTCTCTAGCCCCACCCCATCCCCTTTTTATGGACAGAATCTCCTTCTGTAGTCCAGGCTGGCCTGATACATTTTATGTAAGCCAGGCTAGCCTTGAACTTATAATAATCTTCCTCAGCCTCTCTAGTGCTGGGCTTACAAACCTGAGTCACCACGCCTTACTCAAGAGTCAGTCCTCTTAATAAATGGTTTTTCTGTTTACATCAGTCAGTTTATTCTGTTTAGTACCTGTCAACCCTGCTGATACAGTGGGTCCCAGCCAAAGCTCTGCTTTTATGTGACCTCTGCCAACTCAGCTAACTCAGATTTCCCTCCATTATCTCTTCTTTGAGTTTTGTTTGTTTGTTGTTTTGTTTTGAGACAGAGTCTTGAAATGTATAACCCTGGTTGGCCTCAAACTCAATATATAGACCAGGCTGACCTCAAACTTGGAATTATTCTTCTCAATTGCCTTTCAAGAGCTAGAATTACAGGCATGCGTCCGTCACTATTCCACTAATACTTAAGTGTTCCAAGTACCTGATACCTGCATTTAGTTTTAAACAATGCCTGATCTGAGGGCCAGTACATGGCTCAGTTTGTAAAATGTTTGGTATGCATGTATGGAGGCCTGGGTTTGATCCTCAGAACCCAGCTAAAGTGAAAAAGAGAACCGATACCACAAAGTTGTCCTCTGACTGCCACAAAAATGATGTGGCATGTATGAGAGAGAAAAAGCAAACAGATAGTCATGGTGTCACGTGCCTGTAATCCCAGCACTTGAGAAGAGGCAGGAGGATCCAGAGTTCAAAGCCAGCCTTGCCTACAGAATGAGTTCGGGGCCATTCTGTCCCTGGATACCATGTCTCCCCCTCTCCCCATTATGCCCAGCTTCCTGTGGATCTATCTTCCTATTTACCTACCTACCTATCTGTCTATTTACGGTTTTTCTAAACAGGGTTTCTCTGTGTAGCCCTGGCTGTCCTGGAACTCACTCTGTAGACCAGTTTGTCCTAGAACTTAGAGATCCTCCTGCCTCTGCCTCTGCCTCCTGAGTGCTAAGTTTAAAGATGTGCACCCAGCTCTGGATACCAATTTTTAAAAGGCAAATGACTGAACAAATGAAAGCAATCAGTTGCTCCAGTAAACATGAGGATTTGTTGCATGGAGGCCTGGGGCAAGAAAAGGTCAGACATGGAGGTGGACATGCAGCTGAGTGAAGGTGTGATGGGTAAGAGCCGACCCTTGTTTCTGCTTTTCCTGCACTTTTTCCTTCTTTCTTTCTTTTTCTGCGTGTAGTCAAGGTTTGGTTTTCAACACAAGGTCTTCTCACATTGCCTAGGCTACCCTGGAACTCCCAACTCAGGCAGCCTCCGGAGAAGGTGAGGCTGCAGGTGTGCGCCACCATTCTCAGATGAGCGGAACGATTTTTTGTTTGATGGGTATGGAAAGGACTATGGGTTAAAGATTCCTTTTACCTAACCGAGATTTTTATTTTAGGTGACCTGCACGCCAGGCATGTACTCACAGTGAACCCGACAAGGGCAGACGGGATACCTGCACGACTGAAGGCCACAGCTACCACTAGGTTTGCCTGGCCAGCGCCCACACTTCCTCTGAGCTCCATCCTGGGTGGGCAGAAAATGCTGTCTTCTTTGTAAGTAGAGGTTGCCTGTTTGGTAAAGAAAATCTCCCTCTTCTCCACAAAGTATTTATCTTCTCAAGCATCTTTCTAAATTGCCTGGGTTCCACCAATAGAATCGTGCTTTTTACACACAGCTGAGAAACTGTTGAGCTGGGGAATTCCAGTCTCTTGTTTGGATTGCTTTGCATTCGAAACAAGCATATTTCCTGGTAGAATGCAACAGAAGTCAGAAAAAGATATGCGTATGGTGCTCCAATAGCTAGATTAGTTCACTGTCAGGTCTTCTGATTCTTAAATTGTGTGTGTGTGTGTGTACACGCATGTGTGTGCAATCTCCATAGAGACCAGAAGACAACATTGGATTCTACAGAACCAGAGGTACAAGCAGTTATGAGTCTTGGAGCAGGCACTAGGGACAGTTGTGAGTTGCCTGACAAGAATGCTGGGGCTCAAATTCTGGTCCTCTGGAAAATCAGTACGAGCTCTTAACAGCTGAGCCACTGCTCTAGCCTCACCCTGCCTTAAGACGATGCTGAGACTCAGAGCCAAACTTTGGGCAGAGTGAGGGGATCTTATGAAAGAAGGGGGAGATAGAAAGACCTGGAGGGGACAGGAGCTCCACAACAAACCAAAAACTATGGGCATAGGGGTCTTTGCTGAGACTGATAATCCAACCAAGGACCATTCATGGATATAACCTAGAACCCCTGCACAGATGTAGCCCATGACAGTTCAGTGTCCAAGTGGGTTCCCTAATAAGGGAAACAGGGGCTGTCTCTGACATGAACTCAGTGGCTGGCTCTTCGATCACCCCCCCCTGATGGGGGAGCAGCTTTACCAGGCCACAGAGGAAGACAATTTAACCAGTTCTGATGAAACCTGATAGGCTAGGATCAGATAGAAGGGGAGGGAGGAGGACCTCCCCTATCAGTGGACTTGGGGAGGGGCATGGGAGGAGAAGAGGGAGGAAGGGTGGGATGGGGGGGTGAAGGGGGGCTACAATTGGTATACAAAGTGAATATACTGGAATTCATACAAAAATTAATTAATTAAAAAAAAGAATGATTTAGATTCAGATTTTTGGCTTTTGCACCAGGCCAAAACTCAGGTTGAGTATTTTCAAAACTATTCTAATCTATTTTCCTGAATTGCATTCCTAATTTGTCTCAAATAAATGTATTTTTTTTTTTTTCAGTAATGGGGAATCACATTCAGGGCCATGTGCGAGAACACTAGGCCTGTGCCCTACCATTAAGCTATACCACCAAGTACTAATTTTTTTGTTTTGTTCTGGAGTAGGTTGATAAAAACAAAACCTTCCGATGCAATCCTTAAAACCCAGCACTTGGGAAGCAGAGGCAGCCAGATCTCTGTGAGTTTGAGGCCAGACAGGACTACATAATAAAACCCTGCCTCAAAAACAAACAAAACACCAAAACCAAACTAAAACAACCCTAAGCAGAGTGTAGTGGTTCCATGCCTGTAATGACAGCACTCTTTCAGAGGCAGGAGGCTAGAGTTAGTGAGCATGGGCTACATAGGGGGCCCTAGCTTAAGAAAACAAAGTAATACAAAAAGTTTACAAAAGTGGGATGGTACTAAAAGTAAAGCAAATGTAATCTGTAATCTGACCTGAGATGGAAGATAGCAGCCAAACTTACCAAGCAGGCCAATAGCAGCTGACGCTTGCTCTATTTTAACCCTAAACAAAAGAAGTAACTTAAAATAACACAGATGTTAACTAACCCGCTATTTTTCTCTTTTGCTTCCTGTACCCACCTTAGGAGGAAAGTGACTTTGAAATGACCAGTTTGCTTTGTGTGTTTTCTTTCTGCTTTCTTCAAGTCTTTTCCTCTGTATAAAGCTAGGCTCGGCTTGGTGGTAGCTCTGTGGTAGTGTGCTTTCCTGGAAGCTTGGCTCAGCACTACTGAAAAGCCAGTCAAGAACACTAACCTCTTCTATTTGGTTCATTGAAACACATACTATGTCCTGATTTTAGAATGAAAAAATAAAACCAACTAATATGTGTAAAAAAGTTTTGTCACTAAAATTCTTTTTACATTAATTATTTATTTCATGTATGTGTGTGGGCCTGGGCATGACACATGTGAAGGGGTCGGAGGACAGCTGGTAGTCAGTTTTCTCCTACCTTCTTGTCAACTCAGGTTGTCAGTCTTGGTGGCAAGTGTCCTTATCCACCGAATCATCTTCCCTTCTTACCCTTTGATAGCTCATTATACCAATTTTATGTAGCAACTGAGCTCCCTGAGAAGGGAACTGGCTGGGCACTGGCTGGGCAAGCTATGACAGAAGGAGTAAACAGGAAACAAAAAGGGTTGTTCTGTTTTTGAGACCAGGTCTTCTCATGTAGCTCAGTCTGGCCTTGAACTTTCTGTATAGCCAAGGATGACTTTGAACTCCTGATTCTCCAGACTTCATCTCCCAAGTACATCAGCCCTGAACTGAAATCTTTTGAAAATTTAATGTGTGTGTGTGTGTGTGTGTGTGTGTAAGAGAGAGAGAGAGAGACAGACAGACAGACAGATGTGTGAATGTGGGTGCACAAATGCCGTGGGGGTTGTGTAGAAGTCAGAGAATAAGTTTGTGTAGCTGATTTTCTCCTTTAACAGTCTGCCTTAATTACTTTTCTACTTCTGTGATAAAACACAATGACCAAGGCGACTTATAAGAGGAAACATTTCATTTGGGCTCATGATGCCAAAGGATTAGAGTCCATGTCATCATGGCAGGAAATGTGGCCGCTGTCAGGGAGGCAGGTGCTGGAGCAGTAACTGAGAAGTCACACCTTGAGGCAGTAACGACAAAGGAGGGGGATGGGGAGAGTGGGGAAAGGCTAACTGGAAATGGCCTGGGCTTTTGAAACCTCACACCTCCTAATTTCTCCCTGACAGTTTCACCAGCCGGGGACCAAACATTCAAATATATGGGGCTGGAAAGACGCTCAGCAGTTAAGAGCACTTGCTCTTACAGAGGACCTGGGTTGATTCCAGCACCCACATGGCAGCTCTAACCATGTATAATGGGATCTAGTGTCCTCTTCTGCTCTGCAGACATACTTGCAGAGAAAGCACCCATATACATAAAATGCATAAACAAATACATCTTAAAGAAAAAAGAGTAATTACACAAGTCTATGGAGGCCATTCACATTCAAACCACAGAGTCCCAGAGATGAACTCAAGACATCAAGCTTGTGTGGTGAGAGCTTTACCCTCTGAGCCATCTGGCCCCCAATGGACAGATCTCTTGAGTGCTGTCTTGTGCTGTGGTCCTGGGCAAGAGTTTATGGTAGGATTCTGAAGATGACTAGCAGCATTGAAAAGTGGGTAAGGATTCATGGGGATGTGGGCTCCCTCCCTCTTTCCTCAATGCTGCCTGCCTGAGGACAGGGAGGGTAACATGGTCCTCTGTTCTCCCTTGCCCTGCCTCACTTCTGGGAGCTACAGGAACAATGAATTTGAGAACCATAAGTTACAAGTATGGTCGCTTCACTAGTTTAAAGTACAAATTATGGTCACATTCTCCGCCCCACCATTAACTGCTTGAGGTTTCAGAGAGCTTATCAGCCGGGCAATCTGACCCGAGGGAGGCTTTTCTTCTACCCCAAAGAATTGTTCAACCCTGGAGGACAATTGTGCTTCATGCAGGGGCTCTGTTGAGCACTGGTCTTCCACTTCAGGGCCTAGAACACTAGTGTCAGGAACACATGACCAAAATCCTTTTTTTTTTTTTTTTTTTTTTTTTTTGGCGATGGTCTCACAATGCAACCTTGCTGGCATGGAACTCAATATGCAGACGAAGCTGGTCTTGAATTTATGGGACTCCTCTGGCCTAGCCCTCCCGAATGCAGGGCTTAGCAAGGGTGTGCCTCCACAGCCTGCTCATTCACTAGCTTGAGCTCTAACAATTTGTTTTGTTTTTCAAGACGTGGTTTCTCTGTGTAGCCTTGGCTGTCCTAGAACTCACTCTGTAGACCAAACTGGCCTTGAACTCAAAGATCGACCTGCCTCTGCCTCCTGAGTCTGGGTTTAAAGGCATGCACCACCACTCCCCTGCTGGCTGAGTCTTCATCCTATGGTTGAGTCTGGTCACCACTCTAAAATGCATTCCTACCAGTAAATTCTTAGGTACGCAGGGACAATTTTTTTTTTTTACTTTGTCTGTCTTCTTTTAGATTTATTTATTCTATTTCATGTGTATGAGTGTTTTGTCTATACGTATGTAGTAAGTGTGTCATGTACATGCCTGGTGCCCATGGAAGCCAGAAGAAGTCTTTGGATTCCCTAGAACTGGAGTTTGGGATGGTTTTGAACCATAATGTGGGTAATGGGAATCAAACCTGGGTCCTCTGTAAGGGCAACATGTAGCATCTTAATGGCTGAGCCATCTCTCCAACCCCCAGGGACTCGTTCTGAATGACCATTTAGGAAGGGGTCATCTTTGGATGGAGTCTAATAACTTGGGGGTTCACAGGGATGAGACTAGACCTTTCTCACAAGTGTCACCTGCAATCACAGCCTTACCTTCCTCCCTAGTTTCAGTGCTTCCCTGAGTGGCAGCGTTTGTCGGGGCCCAAAGTACTCTGTTTTGTTCTCTCAGGGCCTGTTTACACTTGATAATCTCAAGACTGCCAAATCAGAGCCAGCCTCCTCCAAGGTGACTTGTGTCCCCAAGGACAAGGACAAGAAACTCTCCGCCCCTGTTATACTTGTCCTTCTCTGGGCTAGTTCTCCAGAAAATAAGGGGCTTCAGAAATAATTTGAGGTATTTTTACTTTGTGCCAACTTGACTCAGAAGGGTCTCAGGGACTTCTGTGTGAGAGAAAACCCTCAGACAGGGGCACCCGCCACATACAGACCTCAGCCTCCTGACACTCACCAGGTCCTTTTGCCTGAACTTAGCAGGAGACTTCGGGCAACACTGCCTCTGATAGAAGGATCTGGGTGCTAATAAAATATGTTTAAAAGCAATGCAAAACAGACTAGGACATTCATAATTTCAGGGCTGGGTAGGTTAAGGCAGGAGGATTCTAACAAGTTTGAGGTTAGTCTGGGCCATATATTAATTTCTAGGATAGCTTGGACTACAGAAGAATGAAACAAACAAAACAAACAAACAAAAATCACCACCACCAACAACCAAATTAAAAAAAAAAAAACAAAACCAACAAACCAAATAAACAAAAAAACATCATCATCATCAACAACAACAACAAAAAGGGGACCAGCAAAATGGCTCCATGAGTGAAGGTGCCAGCTGCTGAGCTGGACAACCTGAGTTCAGTTTCTTTTTCCTTTTGCTTTTCTTTCTTTCTGTTTCTTTTCTTTTTTTGAGACAGGGCTTCTCTGTGTAGCCCTGGCTGTCCTGGAACTCACCCTGTAGACCAGGTTGTCCTCGAACTCACAGAGATCTGCTTGCCTCTGCCTCCTTAAGTGCTGGAATTAAAGATGGCCTGCCTCTGAGTTCAGTTACTGCAGCTGATACAGTGGAAGGAGAGAACCAACTCCCTCAAGTTGTCTTTTGACCTCTACGCTCAATGCCATGGTACTCACACTGCTGTTACCTTGTCCCTCTAAATAACAATGTAACAACAACAAGAACAACAAATACGAAATATATGAAATACGAAAGCTATTGAGGCTAAACCAATGAAGAACTGCTCCTTACCCAGTAGGACGGCTTGTTTTGTCTTTTAACAAGTAATGCCGGAAACATTGAGAAGTGAGACACCCACACCACTGGTGGGGAAGGGAGGCAGTTCAGTGGCTCCTCAGAAAGCTCAGCCTAGTCCACATCATTGAACAACTTCATTTCTGGGGTAAACCTGTAGCATTTGTTTCGATAGCTAGAAGGAGTAATAGCTCCACCAGCCGTCAGTGGATGAATGCATAGTCCAAGAGCA